GAAGGAGGGATCAGGCAGGTGGGAGCTCCTCCCTTGGATCTGGCTGACCTGGTGGGGCAGGTACTTCACAGCCTGTCACCTCCAATTTAGCTCAGACCTAGGACCTGCACTTCCTCCCAGGCTAGGTGGGGTTCCCCCATCTGCCAGGAAGCCTCCTCTTGCATTACCTCTCATGTCAGAGGCCTTGGCCAAGGACCTCACCTTCTCTACCCTCGTACTTTCATACCTTGGATCCCAAGTAAGGGCTTAATCCCTGTGAAGCGGTTTGGATCCCAAAGCTTAGAGGGGTGTCCTGGGAACCCAGCTTTCCCCTTAGAAATCCACCAGAGAATGACAGACGTGTCCTCTTGGCAAGCCCCAGCCTGCTCTGCTCAGAGAAGGAAGGAGGAAAAATTCATTAGCAGCCAGTCTGCGCCATTAACTACTCCCCACACAGGCTACTGGGGTGTTCCCTCCCTCCCACCCCCACATAAAATCCTCCTACCCAGGACAAGAATCCTCACCCTCAGGTCCCCTCCCACAACCTGGGGTGACATCAGTGCCCAGCCCCAGGAAGAGAGACAGGCCCCAGCCACTCAGAAGAGCTGCCAGCTATGCCCAGAGCAGATGGGCAGGGGCGAGGAGGTGGGCAGAGGCTGACAGGAACTGGTTTCAACCAGACGTAACCGGTTTTGCTGTGTGAGCAGTGGAGGAAGTCAGTGGTTCACACCTGGTGAGTCGGAGCAGCCAGGGGTGTCTGGAAGCCTGGGCATTTTCTAGAGCTGAGTCTGTTGTTGAGCACACAGGAGAGGCCCCTGCCCCATGACTCTTCACAGGACAGGGCCCAACACAGGCGCCCACAAGACACAATCAAAAACCCCGAGCTCTGACTTCCTGTCTCCCCAGTCCTGGCCCAACCCTGTTTGGCGGGAGCCTCCAGAGAATGGGGGAGCTCCAGCCACTTTCTCACCCTAGACACGTAAGGGTTTCGGAGACCTCTGTCCATATCTGTGGCTGTTCCTCAGGGTCCCTCAGAGAACGATTTATGCTCCTGGCTTGTGAGCAGTCCAACTGCCATGAATGTTCTCCCTTCTGGAAATTTCCATTCTCCATACCCCGTGGAGCCTCAAAGCCAGGCTGCTGCTCCTCTGAGGAGGAGATGGCAGCGGCAGCTGGGAGTCCTGACATCCGCGGCGCACGCGGCCTGTGCTCAGCCGCCTGCACAGGCCACCTCTCAGCCCGGCTTAGTTTTCTAGACAGACACAGGCCTTTCCTGTTCTTCTCACCCCATGAGGCTGGAAAGCTCCTCAGAGAAGCAAATGAAAGGGAAGGCCCAAGATACAGACCCCTACAGGGACCCTCACTTTGGGCAAGAAAAGGTTCCTTCGTGAGACTGCGGCAGAGTCAGCTTGAATCCTGACCCCTCGCTTCCTGGCTGTACGGCATTGGGCAGTGTCACTTCTCTGGGCCTCTGCTCCCTCCTCTGTGGAGAGGTTCTACACAGAATGCCCGTGCGTGGGGTCATTTGTCAGTATTCAGTGGGAAGATGTGGATTCTGAGCTGAGCCGGTAAGGTGTCCAGGGGGCGTCCCACAGACAGCAATCCTTTCCTGCCCATTCACTGCCAGGGTGGACTTAGGGTGCCCCACCACTCACCAGATGGGTGCGTGTGCCCTGGGCGACTAACCTAACCTGCCTGACCTTCCTCCTCCTTTTGGTGACCTGGACCCAACAGCAGCGCCACATCAGAGGGCCATTAGGGAGGACACTTGCACAGCATTGAACACAGTGTAACACATAGTAACTGCTCAGCAAATGGTGGTGGTTCCGTCATTTTTATCCCACGCACCCAAACAGATGCACACGGCTCTGTCTTTTATGCTGGAGCCATACACACCACAGCCCCTGGGGCCCTGGAAGGACCAGGTGGAGGTGCCGCCCCAGCCAGAGTTTTCAGGTGTTTCGTCAACCACACCTCCCAACTGAATCAACATCACCCGTAGGACACTTGGCACCACTGTGTCTCCCACAGAAACCCTGCTCCATGGGGTCAGGTCAGGAAAGGGACCCGTGAGTTCCCGGAACAGAACATTTCCCTGCAACTTGACCACCAAGGCCCAGGTTCGCTGGGAGGGGAGAGGCGAGCCACGCCTGCTTCTTGCAGCCTACCTGTGGTCAAGTTACCTGGTGGGAGAGCAAAGGCTTGGAGCGGCAGCAGGGCCAGGGTAAACCTAGAGACTGTTTGATAGTGGAGAAGCCCAGGTTCAAGGCGGGAGGTGAATGCACCCAGGTCATCTGACAGCCGGCGCTAGCCCACATCACCTGACGCTCATCACTGCTTTTGCCGCCTCACCCCAGGGCAGCTTTCCTGCGTGTGCAGACACGGACAGTTTTAATCACTTTTGAAAATGCATCCTTTTTATTCCTGACTTCTGACCATTTTATTCCTTATCTTCTTGTTGGGATCAACTTTTTTGAGGTGAAATCCACATAACATGCAATTAACCGTTTGGAAGTGTACAGTTCAGTGCCTTCGCAATGCTGTGCGACCACCAGCTTTCTCTACTTTCAAAGCTTTTTGTCACCTCATAAATAATCACTCCCCATTCCCGCCTCCTCCTCCGATCCCCTGGTCCCCTCTAAACTGCTTCCTGGCTCTATGGACCTGCTTATTCTGAATATACCATATAAAAGAAGCATACAACATGTGGCCTTTTGTGTCTGGCTTCCTGCCCTTAGCATATAATGTGTCTGAGCTTCGTTCACGTATGGTATTCACCAGGAATTCAGCCCTCTCCGTGGCTCACATCGTCCACTGTACAGACACTCTATTCAGTCATCGATTGAAATTCGGATAGTTTCATCATGTTTAAACACACACACAAATGGAAAGACTAATGTAACGAGCACCCATTTTCCCACTACCCAGATTCGGGAAAAAAAACCAGGACTGGGGTGCTTGGGGCCGCAGTGCAGGGGGCACTCACTCCCGCCCCAGGTCTACAGGCGCAGGTGGGCCCTGAGCTTGCTGTGTCTTCAGTGGCGCCCCTCAGGCACCTCACTGGCCTCCCCCAGGCCTGTTTCTGTTGCACAACTTTAATCTGTTGCATACTTGCTTTCTCCCACTCTTATGAACATCTGTTTTTGCTGAATAGTTTGCAGATAGGTTACAGACTACACCACACTTCGCTCCTCAGTTGCTCAGCTCACGTCTTCTCAGAAGGATAGCCTATTATACATACTGACACATCCATTCCCACACCATAATTCCGTGGAACCCCCACCTCCAGTCCACAGTCACATTTCCCAATTGCCCCAAATACATCTTTTATGGATTTTTGTTTGGTTGGTTGGTTGATTTGATTTCAGCAGGATCTTAGGAAGTTTCCCACATCACATGTGGATATTGCATCTCTTTTGTGCTAAAATGGCCTTGGCTTTGACCTTTTGAAGAGCCCACACCTTAAGTCTTTTAGAACAGCCAACGTTGTGATTTGCCTGATTATTTTCTCTTGCTGTCATTTAACCTGTTCCTCTGTCCCCTGTAAATCCTCTCAGCTAGGACTTGGGGTTAAAGATTAAACACTTTGGCAAGAACACTCCAGAGGTGATGTCATGACCTTCACGACACCTCACATCAGGGAGCCTGTGATGGCAGGTTGTCCTCCTGCTAATTAATGATGCTAAATTTGATCAATTGGATAAACTTGTGACCACCACATCTCTCTATTATCATGGCACATTTTCCCATTTTTAATTAGTAAGTAACCTGGAGGAACTGCACAAATACCCTGTTCCCCAACAACTTCCCACCCAGTGGTTTTTAGCAGCTGTTCATGATCCCTGCCTTAATCAAGAATTACCTGGAAGGTTGCAAAACGGTGGCTTTCTAACTCTATCATTTCCTCCATATTTGTTTTTAAAGAAGGACTTCCCTCTCCTCTCTCTCTCTCCCTCTCTCTCTCCCTCTCTCTCTCT